TTTTGGCCAGTTTCTTTTGCTGTTTTCTGTCTTACCAGTGAGGTCTTAGGTCTTGTTGTCTTGGAAACCAGTCCTGCCAAATTCCTATCTCACTAGGGTATGAAAAACAAAGACAAAGGTTAGAGTTATTAAAAACTACACATTTGGATGAGGAGCCAGTGGACATAAAACTGAGCCTCTGGGCTGGGCACAGTGGCTCATGCCTGTAATCCCAGCACCTTGGTAGGCCAAGGCGAGTGGATCACCTGAGGTTGGGAGTTCGAGACCAGCATAGCCAACATGGGGAAACCCCGTCTCTACTAAAAATACAAAAATTAGCTGGGCATGGTGACACACGTCTATAATCCCAGTTACTCAGGAGGCTGAGGCAGGAGAATCACTTGAACCCGTGAAGTGGAGTTTGCAGTGAGCCAAGATCGTACCATTGCACCCCAGCCTGGGCAACAGAGTGAGACTCTGTCTCAAAACAAACAAACAAACAAACAAAAAAACTGAGGCTCTGAAGAGGAGGAACTGCTCAGATGGTGCTGGTGTTTCTGAGCTCTGAGGAGGATCACCAGAAACTGGAATTTTCTCAGGCAGGGGTGCTGGTCTGGCATCTCCAAATGGTCTGGCATCTCTGAGGATGTGCAAGTTTGGAAAAACTGCAAATTGGATTTAGTTGCTGCTACAGGAAAGAACTGCCTTGGACAGGGTGAAGAAGCTTTGCTGATGCAGATGGGAACAGGAAACCAACAGGAAGTAAGCAGAGAGCAAACAGGAAGGAGCAAGACCCCTTTTCCTCCTTCAGGCTCTACAGTCCCTCTGGTACCCCCTATTGGCAGAGGCTAACACACCACTTGGCAAAGTGAAAGTGGGGTTTTCAGAGTCCCATTCCCAGTTACGCAAAGCCCAGTGTTGAGAAATAGATTTGAAGCCAAGAGATAATAGCTTAATAATTGGCACACATAATAATAGTATGTGCCAAGGACCAGCAATTATGATTAATTCAATTCTGTACCCCTGAGGACCAAATGTATTTTTGAAAGACTACTTGCAAAAAAAAAAAAAAAAGTCCTTAAATTCATTGAAAGACTAATTATTTTTCTGGATAGCTAATATGTATGTTCTGCTGATATTTATTCTCCCCCAGTTACATTGTGGTTTTAAAGAGGATTCAATCAAAATCCCAATGAGATGATTTTTCAATGGATTGGACACAATTATTGTAAAGGTTGTCTAAAGAAGTAAATGAGTAAAACAAAGATTGGTTTTCCTGTTGAGGAGTATTAAGAGATATCCAAAGCCAAGATATTAATATATATTATAATGTAACACTAATTAGTGTTATCCTGAAAGAAAAATAGAAAGATAATAAATATAAAAATATTTGAGGGCCAGGTGCGGTGGCTCACACTTACAGTCCAGCACTTTGGGAGGTCATGGTGGGCGGATCACAAGGTCATGAGTTCTAGACCAGTCTGGACAACATGGTGAAACCCCGTCTCTACTAAACATACAAAAATTAGCCAGGCATGGTGGCACATGCCTATAATCCCAGCTACTTGGGAGGCTGAGGCAGAAGAATCACTAGAACTTGGGAAGCGGAGGTTGCAGTGACCCAAGATCATGCCGTTGCACTCCAGCATGGGTGACAGAGAGCACTTTGGGAGGCCAAGGCGGGCAGATCACGAGGTCAAGAGATCAAGACCATCCTGGTTAACATGGTGAAACCCCATCTCTACTAAAAATACAAAAAATTAGCTGGGTGTGGTGGTGGGCACCTGTAGTCCCAGCTACTTGGGAGGCTAAGG